ACACTGCACATGCCATCTGGCATCGCTGGAACGAAATATGAGTGCACCCTAATTAAAATCGTAAAATTTCTGACAATGGGCACCGCCATTCACTCCAACTATCACCCCTGCACCGCTGACCCTCATTCCAAAAGAATGTGCTGGTTGGGCGACATAACAGGTTACCGCTACTGTTTATTCCAAAAACATTGTGCGTCTTTCGGTATTAATTTATCTCAAAACCCAGCATTTTAATTTCTCAGAAACGATCATTGCGGGAAAATTGTGGGCCGGGACTAAGATTTTTGAACGATCGATGCGATAAAACGATAGTTCGAGGAACGATAGAAGCGGGAAAATGTAACATTATTTTATATGGGATGTATCCGGGACCGAACAAAACGGACGATGCATCCGGGAAAACGATAGTTCCGGGAACGATGGATAGAGGTTTCACTGTAATCACAAAATTTCTGTGTTAACAGTTATTCAGATATTTTCTGTTATCCCAAAATTCTCAGATTTTGTAACTTTGTTTAATTATGTGCCATTTTGCTATTGTTGCACGTGTTAATATTAGGACACCTGCTGTCACTGGTGACTGGGAGAATAATACAAATACTTTTATGTTACAGGTGACAATATAAAGTCCACTGTTGGTGTAAATGAGAAATTAAGAACAAAATGTAATGTTATAGAGTGGGTTATCCTGAGAAAGGTTAGAATAAGACTGAAATATACAGTCATAGTGACATGTTTGCCTTCCCATGAGAGTCCATCATGTATGTGTAATAAGAGTTTTTATGATAAGGCTGTGATTGTAACTATTAGGTCACTTAAAATATCTTTCTGAATGCTCATTTTAAAGCTTTCTGAAATCCAGTCAACAATTTGTGCATGACAAAGACAATTTCTGATACACAGAAGAGATTAGCCTATAGAATACTGTTTAATGATTAGGAATATTTTTAAGATTTCAGGGTTGTTGCAAATATGTTGCTTGTTTCATAATTTAGGTAATGTTTTTAATTTCATAATTTATAATAAGTACCTATATTTTTATTTTTAAAAGTGTGATATAGAAATGAAGTCCATTTTCATTAGTTTTGATTGCTTCAGTCAAAATTTATACTGTGCGTGGTAGGTAGGGACACAGATGCATACATCATATTCACAATAGATTTTCTAACCCTTTGCTGCAACATTTAAATTCATATATTTTGATAGCTAACCATTTGATTTAAATGGGCTTAGACCTTGTTTATAGAAGTTTCTATAAAGAGTTCATTTATGAAAACATTAATTTCTATTAACAGTTTCTTGCTCAAGGATACTGGGGAATTACCTGTTCAATGTGAAAAGTAAATGGATGAATTATTTAATAAAAGTAGTTAACCACCAATAACGTTTTATTTAGAATCTTACATTTGCATCTGCGAGCAACAGTTCATTATAGCCAGATGATCAGCATGTAAATACATTCACTATTAGAACAAGCCTTAGTTTTAAGAAGCAAAAGTTTCTTTTCATTGGAGGATCAAGAGCTGTTGCTAGTCTATGATTTACTACAATTCTTAATTTCTAACCTCAGAAACTTTGTTTCAGCATTGACATTTCTGTCTATAAATATTTATGGGGGTGGGGTGAATCATGATCCAGCCTTTTATAAGTTCAAATTTAAATTATGTTTACTGCAATAGTTCCTATTTTTGTGACACAAGACGTAGGGGATTAAATCTGCGTATCATGGGACTGCCTGCTGGTCATTAACAGTGGGGGTAAAGGCTATCTGTATATTAATTACATGGTCACCTGGATGAAACATAAGATGTGATTCATGGACAATAAGGTTAACCAATTAAGTATGACTATTGTTTAGTTAGAGATGGTTGAACCGATAATTCAACAGTATTTTATTGCATTTATTGAGTAATAAGATTTTTATTGTATATTATTCATTAGTTGCTCAGAATTACATGTAGTTTTGTTGCTTTCTGCACTGCTCACTAATCAAGTTGCTCACAGGAATACTGAAGTGTTCAGCGTCCTCTAATGTTAAAAAAATTCTAACATTGCACGTGCCTGCAATGTTTCTGTGGCACCTGTACTCATACTATAATGTTTTATTTTATTTTCTTTGAAACTCCATATAGAAACAGTTTAGTACTATTGAAGGTATTGTCTTTTTAGTATGTTGGAAGCCTTAGAGTTTGTGTGAAGTTTTGTTCATTTTTCTTGTGGCATGGGAACTTAATCTTTAGAGAGTGATACTGAAATTGACTGAGCTTTTGTAGTGCCAGTTTTGTCTTTGTCCAGCAGCGTGAGAACATCAGTTGTGACTTTGTGGCAGGTAAGTTGTTCAAGGAGACTTTCACCATTAGATTTACTACTAATCCAGGTATTTGGAAAATGGAGGGGTGAATAATATGTAATATAAACGAGATTATTTTGTAATTTTAACTTTTGTAGATGGTACTCATTCTAGTAAATTAAGATTCAGATCTTGGCTGATGTTAATAGTGATAATAATTTTAATTAAGACACAGGAACAGTAGAGTATCTACTTTGTAGATTTAAGATTCATTATCATCTTTAGTCTCTGGATCCTGGGTTGTAAACACACTATCTGTTTATCTATTTAATATACAGGTAGGTCATATACAATTATGTGCAGATAATTATTTTCTTTATAATTGGTTTAGATATAACATGTTTTTGAATCTTAGAACAGAAATGTAGGCCTGAATTTTTGTCATGCATGATGATAAAATTAGGTTAACTTCTTTAAATCACTGCAATTTTTTGAAGCATTTAAGTGAATTTTCATACCTCTCAGTTTTATTGTGACAAATGGCATGATTTTCACATGTTCATCTTCACACTCCATTATATTTAGGTTTTCTTCTCCAACTGTGAATATAAGCTTGTTGTGTTTCTTTGGTATTTATATGTTTTATTAAATATTTCTTATTTGATCTTTAGTTCCTGTTACAGATATTGTTTAGTTATTACTAGTGTAGTTATAAAATACTTGACACCATGGCTGTTGCTATCCATGAATGGATGATTTGTGTGCGTGCGCACATTTAGAATCCCTGGTTGCCTTTCTATTGTCTTTTTGTGATGTAGTATAGCAGTATTGTATGTCTGTGCATTTAATAAAACTAAAATTCACTAATATCTTCTGAATGGTTCAGGCACCCTTTGTGATGCAGAGGCAGACAGACATTGCTAATTGTACAAATTGTGGGTGTCAAAAAAATTTGCACATGAATTAAATCTCGATATAATCTTTCTTCATAATTATAATGCTTTATATTATGTGTATGAGGAGGTGAAGAAGTTTTCATATAAATGTATGGTCTAATGTATCATCAAATTGAAGTGTCATGCTACACTTCATTGTGTTCATTTCATCAGTTGGTTGCTAAAATTGTCATTAGCACCATGATGTACTAAAATTTCAAAATAATTGCATTCATTGATTGTATTTTCATGTATTCATTTTGTGTTTAAACTAGTACTGTAAAATATCTCACATTATGTACATCTTATATTTTGTACTTTTATATGTAAATTAAATTGAACGAAGTATTGTGCTAATAGTTTATTAAGTAAACTATGTCACATACATTGTAAAAGTGAAGTGAGTGTCCATTATTTGTCTGAACCAGTCATAACATTGAAGCAATATGGAGATTATAAAGTACCATGTATTTCTTTCATACTAGTTAGATGTGTTGTGTTGGCATCTTTATTCAAGAAACATATCCTCAACTATCATTCCTTAACCTGTCATGTATTTAGTCTAACATGTGTTCAGGAGGTTTTTATTTTGGGCTTTGGCTGGTCTACCAGTTATCCTGATATTTTGTGGTTCTTCTTAGTCTCTCCAGGCAAATGTTGAGATAGTACCTTGAAATGAAGTGCAACATCTCTTACCAAATCCTTACCTGCTCATTATTCAGATGATTTCTCATTCTCATTTGATACTATATATCAACCTTTGTGCGCGCACAATTGCATATCTCCTTTAATGTTTAAGGTATGGCCTTTACATACCATGAATGGCAAAATATCTTTAACATATTTTCCCATATATGAAATTTAATAAATTATCAACAGATAAATGCTGATTCCTTCCAAGGGACATTCCTTTGTGTGATGGAGGGACTGCATGCCCATATCAGGCTGAGATGTGCCATTGGGAGCACTCACCATTACTGGTCTGGCCCTATCATGAAAGTTGGAGCTGAGGAGCGGACAACTGCGAATGTGATAACACCATCAGATGGCTGTTAGTGATGGTTGGAAATGTTCTTGTAAACTTCAAAAGACCAATAAGCAAAATGATGGTGAGATGAAGATTTGAGGCTGATACAGGTATTTATGTTTCCTTAATGGCAAGCACAAGCCTTATAAAGCATAAAAATTCTTATTTTAGTATAAACTTTAGATCTCTGCCTGTGACTAATTTGTGGAATGATGTGACAGCCACTGAATCTTGGTCTTTCAGTATTGATTCTTGATACTTCATAACAAGCATGTAAAGCCAGAGTCAGTTTCACTGATGCAGTATTCACAAATTAGGATCTGGTGATTACTTGTGGTAGTATAATCTTAACAGTTTCTGTATGGGAGAAATGATGTTACCAATTTCAGAAGACACAGATACAGTGGTGTTTTTGTTCAAAAAAAAAATGGAAAATTCAATATATTTCCTTCATTTGTCTGTGTGAGTTTTTCTTAATTTTGGAATTTATCTCAGTTTGAATCTTTTGAAGAAATTCAGAGAAATGTGATGTTAATACTCGAGGACTTCTAGAAAGTTATGTAGGTGTTTTTAGGCATGGTGATAACACTTCATAAAGGTGTGTAGTTATTATTTGTTATAAAATTAGTGTGGTAATTTGTGAGATGTTGACTGGTGTATACATGTGGACAGCAACACAGCTCATCATCACAAAGATGTCAAGCACATGACCACTTTGGAGGAGGACAAGGGCTGAGTGAGAAGAGGATTTCAAGAGTGGGGAAGGACTGAAACACAACAGGAGGTTTGTTGTAAGATGTCCTACCTTGATAGAAATATAATGGATAATGACAATTGACAAATTAAACATAAGTATAATTAAAATTTATGTTTTAGCACTAACCACAAAACAGGATGAAAATTAAAATGTGTATACCTATATGTACATGCTGGACATACAATGCCAGATGACATGATGAATATGAAAAATGAATTTGTAAGGCTGGCCTCCAAGGCACTGTCTGAATTTTCCTGCAGAGAATGAGGGAAACAACCTCCAGACTGAGATTTGAGGATCCATGTAGTGTGTGAGACCTGGCCACTGTTTTTGTTCCTGTACCAAGTTACTACTTTCATATTCTTTGCATCCTACTGTTTGTTATCTGATAAGCATTTGCAGAACCAGTGTCGCCTTTTCACAAAACTGAATTAGCTGAAATGCATTTTTGAAGGTAGTTACATACTGTATACAGAAATCATGTGGTTCCCATTATTTTTCATAGTGTGTTACATTTTTAATTCAGATGTGTCATTGAAAGGCAAAACCTAGCAAATAAGATGACCACTTTCCATGTCTTTTTCTTTAAATTTGACATGAATGTAGTCATTTTTTAATAATCATAAACCTAGTTAAGGCAGCCTCTGAGGTCAGCCTGTCTCTTTTTTTGGACAAAGTGCATCCCTGGGAAGGTTCTCAATTAATGTTAAAACTTTTGAGGGTTGTTATTACAATGGGCAACTCGAAGAAATTGGTCTGATGCAGACATAAGGAACAAAATTTATTAATGAATGTGGGGCTTTGCTTTCCTTCTCTAACTAAATTTCTTTCACAAAATTTCTGATGATTATTTTAAAGTTAACTTCATGTATTATGCACAGATACTAATTTTCTTTTCTACATTGCTTAAGAGTTTCTATAGTAAAATGCTACATTATTCTCATTTATATTATGCATATAATACAGAAGTAATATATTTCTAAAATAGAGTATTCAAAAGATGAATACAAGATGTATTTTTCTGAAATACTAATGGCATAACTAAAGGGTAACATTAACATATGCAATAAGTCTGTCAGTCAGTTCAGAAATTAGACACAAAAACTGTTTTCTCATGCTATATTAAAAATTCAAATATGACTGGCACTTGTTGAAAGTGGGTACTTTATATTCATATTCATGTAATCAGAAGTTCTAATTTTACAAGAAATGACTCAAATCTTTTATCACTGAAAAGTTTGTGATTCCTGGCATGTTTTTTATGAAATCATGTTTGCAATTACTGTCCGTAACTGAAGAGATTAACCATGGTTCATTCAGTTGGAGTCAGTTCCTACTAGTGGTGGAAGAGGAAACATGGCACTGACATAGGTTAATGGAATATCCAGACTAAGTTCTCTTTTTCTGTGGACCCTGTAGTAATTAGTATTAGGTATGTAGCAAAATGGTACTGTTACCAAACCCCCCCCAAAGATTATCATCATACTGTAAGACTTTCAGACGGTTGAATGCACAGTCAATTTGGACAGTTTGCTATCATTAATATGGATTAAGGTGGCATGTGTATTACTACAACAGGAATGGTGTCAGATGCAGTGACCCTTCTTATCAATGCTTCCATTATTACCATGATGGTTTCCCTTTTGCACAACCGCTATGCTGTCTTACTCATTGTCAATGGTAATGGTCTTAGTTAAAACACTGGATCCTTTATACTGCTGTTAACCAATGACATTGATTCCTGGAAATGTTACAGTGACAGTTCCTTTCCTCTTGCCAGTCGGCTCCTGTACTTCCATACGGACTGAAAAATAATTTACGAAGAAATAAGACGATTTGAGGTTTTCACAGCGGTGAATATGAAGATTTCTGTCTTCTGGGTTGTTGCGCTGTGTAGTCTGGTCGATGTTAACCAACGTTTCAGAGGTCATACTGCTTCCATCAGGGTCCTGATGACGGAGGCAGTATGACCTCTGAAACGTTGGTTAACATCGACCAGACTACACAGCGCAACAACCCAGAAGACAGAAATCTTCATATTCACCGCTGTGAAAACCTCAAATCTTAAATAAGACAGATGTAAACATATTACAAACAGTACACTTTGTTTCTGTGTGTTACTAAGAAGGAATAAATCCCAGACACAACATGAAGTGAGATCTGAAAGATAAAGTGGGTGAAATGAAGTCTTACAAGTGATGTGTTGTGCTTGGATTACAATAAATGACACAACTGAGAGATGTAGGGAAGTGGCTGTGACCTGTCTGTAAGGCCATCATGGCATTAGCTTGCTCAAGCGTGTGTCTGTGCATATGTCAAAACATATCTATACAACCAGCGAGTTGACACACCTGGAAGTCAAAAGGAAGTCCCCTGCGAGATGCCATATCCTCAACCTCTTTGGCAATATTCTGCTGTGTTGTCCCTTCCACATCAATATAGTAGCATTCTGAAGCTGCATAATGGCAAGAGATGGCTTTGCGGAAACCCTGTTAACAATAATACAGCAAGCGCTGATTAAACATCATCTGTATCATAAGTTTGTATCTTAAATCACGTATCTGCGTGAGTACAAAACAAAGTACATCCCTAGAACTGCATATTAAGATGAATGCTGGCATGTACAAACATAAATTTCTTAAACATGAACATATTTAAGTTCTAATTTATGTGTTGGCAGCTTATAATACTTTACTTTTGTCTTGTTGATGCCAGAGCCATGTACAAGAATGGGATGGAAGAATACAGTATCTCCCTTTTCCATTTCAAGTGATACCAAAGGCTGATTTTCAAATCCTTCGACCCGATGGAAAGCCTTGTTAATGGTATGCTGGAATACAAACATGTTATCGCTAATTGATTTTCATAACATAACTAGCTAGACCTACCCAACTTCTTCAGGACATATAAAAAAAAAGATTTGATGACGATTTAACTAAATAAATGGAAAAATAATTTATGCATATGCAGTGTCATCTCTGCAATAATGCATTTGAATCTGTAACAAATAAACATCACGGCAAATGAGGTAAGCCTTTGGAAAATGTTTACTCCAAACTAATACACCTTTCCATTTTTGTTAATATATTATGATACATTCTGGAAAGCAATTTCATGTGAGGCTAACAGTTTTATAGTGACTCACATTCCACTTTGGATAGTCATGTGACTGAAGTTCTCCCTTATGGGTTCCAGGAATAACAACTAAACAACCATTATTTTCATTCACACTCTCCATTGCAGTCCATGCAGCCACGATGCGATCAGCAGGTCTGAATGGAAAGTAGTGTAGATCCTGCAACGAAAACTGTATTGTAATTTAATCTAAATACAATTGTTTAGACACACCTCTGCACAGATATAACGTGCACTTCTACCAGTCGGTGGAATGACCCGTTCTTCAAGTGCCTGAGCACTGCGGGTCCCAACTTTTTGTTGGCTTGATCTATGGACATTTCGTAGGACTCCATGGACGAGGTATCGGCCCATCGCAAGGCCTCTACCTGTACACAGGACCGCACAACGCGGACAAACATCCATGGCTTGAGTGGAATTCGAACCCATGGTCCCAGCAACCAAGCGTCACAAGTCCCGTGCCTCAGACCAAGTGGCCACTATTACACCCCTATTACAATGGTAATATGAATGAAAATACTGACAATAACTTTTTTGCTTGTAAACAAAAGGTTTCTGGACTGCATATACTTTACAGACAAATGACAATTACATATTTTCTTTTGAATGTCACAGTCTGTACATTTCAGTATCCATTGCCAGTTGCTATTGGTACAAGTTCCACAGAAATTTTTAAATGTACAGTTGGGTAATTTACATCTGCACAGTTTTAATGTGTACTTGTGTAAATACAGCATGTGTGTTAGAGAAAAAAGAAACGTGCAGATTTAAACTTTCATGTGGTCTTCACACGATTACTAATCTGCTATGCTAACAAATGGTCTGACACTAGATATGTCCAAGTAAAGTGTAATGTTTACCTCCGTTTTGCTGTTGAACACAGCTGATAAGTCATTAATTCACATTTTTCTTTAAATGAGTCAGTGGTGTCTTTACTCAATAGACATCTGGCACAAAAAAAAAGTTCTGTGATGCAATGAGACATTAAAATGCAAGGACTTTGTTTCACAGCAAAGCATGCTATGGAGTGTGTTGGTCATCATGAAGAGACGAGGAAACAGAAAGGAGTAGTTCAGGAAAAGAATTGAAGGGTCTAGTTTAAAAATGAAATGGCCCAGTTCTGTCCAAAATTTGGTTTCACACATTTTCATACATAAAGAATATCACCCATTGTATTGGTGGCTCATATACACTGTTATAGTGAAAATGAAATTGTGCCATGTTAGAATTTTAAACAAGAATCTGGTTATTATAGTTGTTGTCTTCCAAAGGTCTGTTAAAGTAGAATTACATTCTTTTTGTACTGGACCCTTGAATTGTGTGTACAAATTTCATCTGGAGAAGTAATAAAATTATATTTCCTTAAAATCTTCCATTGATAAGTGGGACTGTCTTATATCCAGTCTTCTCTTATAGTTGGGTAAATGCAGTAGTTTCTGGTACCTGATGCAGTGGGTGTATTCCAGAATATGGAGGCTTGTTGATAAGCATAGAATGCATTGCTTTGATGTTGGGACCTGTGAAACACTCCACATAATCCAGAACCTGGCAACACAAAATATTGTAACTACATATAAGAGCATGAACTTCCAATTCTAGTTACCTGTTCAAAAGACATCTGGTGGATCAACAAATCTAACAGTTGCTTAAACACTAAAATTATGTAGTTGACTGTAACAGAAGTAATTTAGCATTGGTCATATCATGATTCTGTAAAAATCTGTCAATGGTTGGACATTACACCATACTAATGTTGAATATTGCCTCTTTGCAATATATTTATACCTTGGAGAGTAAGAATAATGTTATGACTGTATGTCAGATATGGATAATTTTTGGTCTACATGTTTTTCATGTTTAAGATCACATTTAGGGACCAACTTTTAATACCTGTGTCGTAGAAGTCTGCCGCCTGGGATTGGAACCACTGTGTGACAGCCATCTCCGCCTCTCTGTCATTCTCAAAACGCTGACGCTGACCGGACAGGAATTTCTTGAGGTGTAGGAAAAGATGGAAATCACTGGGAGCGAGGTCCGGGCTGTAGGGTGGATGATTAAACACCTCCCAGCTGAACTTCTGCAGGAGACTTGCTGTCCGTCGAGCCGTGTGCGGCCTAGCGTTATCACTGACCGCACTTCACAGTCGGCGGGAGCTGGAATAAGAACCTCCATCTTCAACAGCTGCAACGATGCTACTGTGAGAACGCGGGAAGTGCCGTTAGTGCATGCGCCATGCTACGTCATTGCTCTATCACGTACACACAGTCGCTTCGCGCAATATAAGGTTTTCTAGCTGTGGGACGAGTGGGAAACTTACTTTGTGGACGCACCTCGTACATGTTTCAGACAAGACAGTATTGGCTATTGGTGCATTGTTTCCTTACACACACAAGACCTTAACAGCAAACTAAAAAGTGAGGGAATGAAAAAGATAGTCAAAGTTTGGACGTTTCTGATGATAGTGTGCAAAATTGTTCTTTTGGACTTTGTTAGTCATCTAAGTTATAATAGAAACAAACTACAATGTGTCAAAAGCCAGTCTCTGCTTCTGTCTTTAGGTAAAACAGAGGGGAAGTAGGACAGAAATCCTATCTGTTGGGCTCCCTGGTTGAGTTAGCCTCAGACCTACACCAGGCATGAGGCTAGAATGCAGCTTCCAAAACTTTGTAGTTTTTGTTATTTTATAATTCAAATGATTAATAAAGTCCAAAAGAACAATTTTACGTATTGAAAACAAAACTGTATCTCACTTTTCTTTATTACTTGTCCCATTAGTCTGCTGCATTGTAAATTCTGCATCAACCAACTCCATGGAACAGAGAATTACCTGAAGAGCTAACAGTCTCTCAGTTAATAAGAAAATGCCCAACATTTAATGAAACTTGACCCTAGTTCTTATCCTGAGCCCAATGAATCCAGTTCATTCCCTCCTACTGTTTCATAATGTCCAATTTTAACATTGTTGTGGTATCCACCCAAATGTCTTCCAAGCTGTCTGTTTCAGGTTTTCAGACTCAAATTTTGAATGCATTCTTAGGTACCCATGTATGCTATATTCCTTGTCCCCAGAGTATAAATTATAAAGCTTGTCATGCAATTTTCTCCTGTTTTTTTGTCACATTATACTTCCTGGATCCAAATATTTTCCTCAGCACCCTGTTCTCAAACACACTCAATCTTCATTCTTGCTTTAATGTGAAAGACCAAATTTTACACTCATTTATATAATAGCTTCTACAAAGTTAGGCCCTTACAAGGGTTAGGGCAAAGAATGGTGAAGACAAGTGGAACTTTATGCCTTGTCCTCAGACAGAGCTCAACACTGGATACAATCCTAAGTCAGTTCCAACTACCTTCCATCCTCACAACTAATTCTTCCAGATCCAGCTTAGTATTATCATCCCATCACTTTCTTGGTCTTCCATACTGGAAAAGCTTTCCTCTCAAAATGTATATTAGCACTTCTTACCTCCCTCAGTGAACACAAATGAGCATCTGACTGTAATGCTCTACACTTCATTACCCTGGCAGTAGGCAACCTGTATAAATTAACTTCTTGTTACATAACATCATAGGAAATATCAGTCTCATGCAAGGTTAATTCTTTAACATACCTTTGGGTGTAGAATATACTTGGACAGAACTTCTTCCCAAACAATATCTTGCAGCTTGTAATATAAATATTCACCTGTTGCATTTGTGTCTTTCAGTGAAATATCCTTCATCAGGGTCATGTTTCCTCGTGGTACACGACCTTCACAGACATCTACAAACCTCTTACTGGAAGAAAAACATGCTCACAAGAATTTACTTCCTTTTAATGTAATACTGTAACAAGAGAATGTGGCACAGTAAGTAAAAGTAATTGAATTCCCACTTTTGTGCACCTGGTAGTTCAAGTCCCACTGGCATAGAACAAATTTAATACCATAAAATCTGCAAAAGAATGATTGTTTACACTAGGGGTTCTCAGCTTTTTTCAGACCTAGGCCCATTCATCTTCATCTATTACAGTGGTATTCAACCTTTTTTTGTTCGCGTACCCCCAGATATAATTTCTCTTCAACTTTGTACCCCCAAAGTTGTTGGTGTATAATTCAAGTTATACATAGTATATAATCTACATCTAAAATAAATTAAATAATTATATTGCTGATTATTCAGTGTCTATCATAAAATAATATTTTTTTTTAAATTTCACGTACCCCTAAGATGTCTTCGCGTACCCCCGGGGGTTCGCATACCCCAGGTTGAATACCACTGATCTATTACATTCCATGGTCCATAAGTTAGTCAGATGACAATAGGATAGGCCCATATTGACCCTTATCAACTAACAGGCCACAAGGTTATAAATGAGGTCTACTGGTATTCCATGACAGTTTATTTAAAACGCTACTAATTTGAGGTAGGTATGCTTCTTAGGATATTAAATTTATCTTGTACTTTTCAGAATTCAAGAGAACTTGTCAATGATGAAGACAGGAGAGGACAACTGACCACAAAATTTAATTTGGAAAACATTGTGTATGTGGGAACCATGATCAAGGATCTTTCACAGATAAATGTATAAGGACACTCAGGTGAAATCAGATATTATTTAGCTACTTGTTTCTGTCATCTTTCACAGTCAGCCCCTTGTAAGGAATGAACTGTGTAGATAGAAAGCCAGCAACCTGGTAGAGAAGACTCAAAAACAAACAAGTGAAATGCTTTAACAATTTGAGAATTGTGTCTCTCACCCACTTTCTGACACTTATGGACAACAAGACACATCAATATGATCTTTGCTGATGACAGTCCCCCACACAAATGTTTCAGGATCAAGAAATGCTAGAAGGAAATTATGGTGGCTTCTTACTCCAAAACAAGTGTTCATGTGGGTACTTTGATAGTCAAAGCATGTTTAGTCTGTCTAGAAAATGGTGCACAACAGTTTTCCCAGCATAAGTGACTGAGAAGCTTAAAAATATGCAGCTTTCCTGCAAAATACTTTAGTAAAGCTACTCACCCATGGAACTTATTCCAGACTGGCATCATGAGATCTCTGTTTCTAACACTGAAGGATTGCCTTCAAGATCATCAGTTTTCAAGCCTCAAAGACTATAGATACTATGAACAGGCAGCTGTAGCAGTACCATAAATTGAGAAAATTCTACTTCTTGAATTGGCTCAGAATGGTGGAACACAGCACATAGTGAGGGGATGAATGCAATGAAAAAATGTAATGAACATTAAATTAGTTTAGGTTTCACTATGTGGTGTTGGGTTAAGTTAGTTTGGATTGGGTTAGCAAAGGTTAGATAGGTTTTTTGAGGTTAGGTTACATATGGTTAGATTAAGTGAGGCAAGTGAGACAAACAATTGGAGCTAATTAGTTAGGGTTAGAATATACTGGGTTGGAAAATGTATTGGGGTGGGGGGTGATATAATACTTCTAAATGTGCGTGGCTAAGAATGCATGACAAATTTTTGTGTATTCCAGTATGAAGTATATTCTCCAGGCTTGTTTTTACTGGAATCATGCCTGTAAGGGCAATGAACATGTGCAACTGAGAAGTGTTTCAGGTTTATGTTATCATGATTAAAGTAAGGATATAGGAATTCATTACCATAATTCTTCTATTAGTTTTTCCTCAACTAGACGTGGTATCACAATGTAACCATTTTCTTCATAGAACTTCCTCTGGCTAGAGCTGAGGAGTGGGTTGTTTGTGGTGTACCTAAAATGTTCTGTAGGCAAGTGTTCTGCTAGTGCTCCAGTTTCAATAAGTCTCTAGTTCGAAGTTAAAGAAATGATTATTAAGAAATGCAGTGTGTTTTGTTCAATGTTCTAATAAATAAAACATGGCCACTCATTGTGGCATGATAGTTGTTCTTTTAAGCCACCATAAAGTAACTCTCTTTAATCCTGCTAATTATTTTCTCAAATGGAATAGGTCTGTGCCAAGTTTCATGTTCCAGTTTTATGCCAAACAGTTTAGCATTGTGAAATACTATGGTTTGTCAGTAGCATGGATCTAAATTTTTATGCAGTCAGAGCTGTCTTTATGGCAGGGGGCAAGCTGAATGGCTACTCCAGGTCCCACACATTAACATTATGATGTATGAAATATTTCATGCACAGTGTAAAATGCCCAAGAAATGAAAATATAACATTGGCATGTTACTTTCATTGTAATCTAAGAATGAAGATAAGAGTATACTAATAAATATACAGCTTGGCACCAGTGATATTGGACTTGACATCTTTGCTTGTACAAATCTTAGAGGGGCCTACATAGACTGGTTTGTTCTGAGCCCGACACCTCTCTAGGGGCAACTTTGTATGCAGTCTTGCAGGAAATGAACACAAAATGGACAAATCCTGTTACTGCTGTTTATGTGAATTGCTCACATTGTATGGTTTTGATAGACTGTTTGTGTACAAATTTCACTCACTATTTTCTTGAAGGATACAGGAGCAAATATGGCGTTCCTGCCATGAATATGGTGAAAAATAATCTTCATCCTATCTGATGCCATTTTTACTGTGCGTCCAAAAAAAATTAGTTGATTTCTACAAAAGAAACAAGTACAGAGCTTTCCCAATGTCATGAGGGACATTCATGTACAACTTCATTAAGTGCATATCTTAATCTTTAGAAATCTACATTCGTGGAAATAATGCACAGATATAATTTGTAAAATTGTCCAAATGTATATAATTCCTGATGGACTCGTTATTAATGGCATTTAAGTGACAGCAGCTTCATAATTTCTTCCTAGAACTCAGACATCAAAGCAGGAAGGATGGTGTTACAGTTTAAAATTACATTCACCCTCAAGAAAGGCCCAATTTAGAAGCACTGGGACACCTAGGCTCTGTCATGCTTGACAAACTTAAGACAAATAAAAAAAATAACTATTTTTTAGGGATGCGAAATAAACGGATCACAATAACAATGGTAAAAGTTTAAACATTTTAATTAGTGCGATTTACTTGTTATTTTACTTTTTTTCATTTTATAGTAACACAAGAGTAGCTGAACGATTTAATGTATTGTAATTACAATAAAATATAGTCAAATACGTGTTTGGTACTGTAATTTCGACTATCATAACACAATTTATTTCGTAGTTCTTCGTCAATGTTTAGCTAAACTAGTCTCTGAATAATGGCTATCTATGCATGATTTAAAGCTGTCACGGCGACTAACAATAAGAGTCTTCTTTGGCTATCAGCCGTGTCAGTTGGTTAAATATTACAGACGTTTCACAGGTCACCTTTGTCACTTGAAATTTCAAGACTCAGAACAGCTTTCCACATAACGGAGTACAGCAACACCGAACAATTCAAGGAAACTGTAATTAATAAGATGTGTGATATACCTGTTGAAAGTGTTTTAATTTGTACCACAGTACACTTAACCACCAAAAAACATATGGTTAACTTTCTTTGAAGAAGCACCACTTTGTTACCTACACGAGATAAAACCGATGACTGGCATAGTATTTCTGAGACTACTTGTTATACGCAATGCATGTGTTTATAAAAATGCTGAATCATATTTAATCTTATTGCATACACAACACATGTTTATGACCATCATATAAGGTTGAAACGGAAGATAATATATAACGTAACTGGTTAGTTCTAAAAGTAGTTTGTTTTTGCTGCTATTGCACTGTCAATAGACATAAAAAATCTTTGCGCACTTCAACTTCTTCTTAATGTGACAAACATCACGTCTGCAACGAACTTTCAGTTCCAGCTGATGTAGCTCGGTCTGCCACCTTTAGTTACTTAAAAGTACTAACAGCAGTTGTTGGTTACGTAGTTTCTGTCGGCATTCTGTACAAAGCGTTTTGGTGATGCAGTAATCACTAAGCAACCAAAATACCAACACTTGCTAATTATGTAGATGGAATAATTATCACTATTTTATAATATTGATTACATGCTGTGTATATACCTGCAACAAATAGCAGAAAGCTATGTTCATCACAAATCAACATTAGATTCCTTAATTGTCGTACGAAATTAATTACAGTCATTGATAAAATTGTGAAAACCATATAATTTGTCGTGAATAGAATCGTCTCCATCTGCCTTCTTTTTGAGTTTGTCATATAGAGTCAAATATCCTCTTTTGAAGGATGTAAACAAAGAAAAGTACGCAGGGGAGTCTAGCCTAGCCTAAAATGACACAGATGACTAAAATGATACGCCTGTTTTTCTGATAAATGTTTCTTGAATGATTTTAAATTTCGTGCCGTTAGGATAGTCATGTTGGTACTCAACTCCAGCGGTTTTCAAGCTTTGTGGACAAAAGTATGTTTACTGGCGTTTCACTTATGATTATCCAGTGTCAGTTTATCAGCGTAGATAACCTAAAATTTGTGAACAGTTTGTTGAAACAATTATTCAGCGAAGATGTTACAAGTAAGTCATGCATAATATTAATTGGTTGGAACAGTGTTACTTGTGTTTTTTAGATTATGGTGTGGAAAACAAGGGCAGCCAACTTCGGGTTAAATGAGAAACCAGGTTCGAATGTGACCTCAGTACACAGACCTAATATCACAGAGTATTTTCATTTTCAGTCGACATGTTTATTTGCTAATGTTCGAATTACTGCTTTCAAAATATGTTATGAAGAAGTTAACTTTTACTATATTTTGAACTTGTTTGAATAAGTATTTTCTTGTTATTAACAGGAATGTTCTGTTATATTGCTCTGTGCCTAATATAGTGATAATCAAGATAAAATTACGTGTTCTGTAAAGTGTATTGTTAAACATAATAGTAGGTTCTGAAGAGTAATTTATAGGACATTGGTGCTACACCAGTATAAGCTAGGTAGCCGGGTCTCCGGTCCTAGATTTGAACACGTTTTGAAAGTAATGGATTATTACGTACTGCAGTGCGACATTCGGTTGTTTCAAGGTAGGGTCAAATGGCGGGCTTTAGTGATGACAATAATGAACATTCGGGTTCTATAACAGCAGGAAATTAATTGCGGACATAATAAAAATCTGACCCAGCCATTGACGTTTATCACATTGTGTCGACCTCGTGTATATAGGATATGATGGGACCATTACAGAAAGAATTTTATATGATCCTTGTTCTCGTTTCCAGTATTGGAAGACATTGACGCGGTTGTACATCTCGTTATAGTATATAAACTACAATTATGCCCTGAAATCTGCGGAACTTATTTGCTTTCCCATGACAGTCTTGTAAATTAAGACAAAAGCTTGAATAATTTATGTTAGGACTGACAACATAGTTCTAATATTATCTTCAGCATAAAGGGACTCACCAGTTTTCTCACAGGTTTATTATATTCTTGCTTCGTTTCTTCCTGATCGTCTGAATAATTATGTATTTCTTATTGAAAACCGTGGCCCCTGAAATCAGCGCAGGTCCAATACAGTGTGTACCATTTAATACGCAATCCAACAATAATCGACGTCTATGGTATAAGAATGAAGTCAGAAGCAGGTCCACCCCCATGGAATAGACTCTCCCGACCTCCCCCGTGACACTCGAGCCAAATGCACCCTTGTTACTAGGCCGCTGCTCACGCCAGGTGCGTATATGTCAGGGTTGGGTATAACCTAAGAAATGGTTGTCAGTGATCCAGTCAGTTCTGGGTTTTTATCTGGTTTGACCTACCAGAAAACATTTTTATCTATTTCAAGATTTGAATTTGGAGGGGGGGGGGGGGGGGGTGATATGGAAACATCCATTCTAAGTCAGGATAGTGTCTCTGTTCCGAGGTCTAAACTCCGAACACGAGGATTAAAAAGTAAAAACATTAACCATAACCCCCAATGTTTATTAAACATCCATCATCTTCACCTCATTCAGGCTGAGAGACCAATTTTAAAATAAACCGGTACACATCTAGGTCGAACGACACTTTCCGAAAACTTTCTGGCTGAAAAGTCAGTCGGCGATTCACTTCTTTGTCTGTTTTGTTGAAACTGTAGACGAAGTCCAATGAAAATACTGCCATAGTTTATAAATTAGGTGAGCCGAGACGAGAAGCTAGAGCGGTGATATGGATGGGTTTAAAAACAAATTCTCTGGCAAGAACTTCCGCCATGATTTATAACAACGCTTTGCAATCAACAAACAATTTCAGAAGTGACAAAAATGTAATAAGCGAAGTACCAAAAAAGAAACTTACAACTAAAGAAAGTGAAAACTTTTTAAGTCTTAGAATTTTTCATTGGGAATTTCAGGCTGTTGTACAGTTTTATGGTGTGTTCACCAATGAAGTTGAACGCAGCTGCCAATTCCCGGCTTCCGGCAGGAACCGCTGTAATATAAGTAAATTGAATTCATTCTTTTTATGAAGCCATTCTCTTATCAGGAAAACCTTGTAGCTCTTGACTGTGAGTCATGCACTTTCAACCAGCAGCCGGCAAATGACCTTGTACTGTCCATTCTCCTGGCTAGCCTGCTGAGCCATTTGGTACTTGCTGTCAATGTTTGGTCTTCTGGGATCCTGCACGTACGACAAAGACGTAGTAGTTGCCTGCAGGCAGTGGTTCGAATCAGAAGGTACTACTATTAATAACAACCGGCATTGCTTTAAATTCGTAAATAAGGCCACTGTTTTGATTGAATGCTAATAGATTGTTTAATGTAGTCCATATGTAAAACTTTTTTCTTCTGGAAAATAATTGAATATAAACATAAAACAAAACCAATGTTTCTAAGGTTCTTTAAGAAATGAAGAACAACATTTCGTAATAAATGTGAAGTCATTAGCTTCAGCGATAAACGTAAAAGTAAAGGGGAGTGCTAGACATCCCAAATAGCCCCATTTGCATATCTGTGTTATACATAAAAACTTATACATTGATAAACTATTAATAATATATTAACATCACACCGTGAAAAGTTGTTAGTTTCAAAATATGGAGTACATGTACAGTAAATCGTCTACGTTTATTAGCGATAACTGGAATTGACTTTATTCCAAATCTCGACTCGTTTTTGCGAATAACAACATGGCTTATCAATACTTTATATATATATATATATATATATATGATAAAGGAGCCATATTGTTAGTAATATCTGAACTTTGGCATTGTCAAGATTATATTTCTTTAGCGGACCGTGTGTTGCAAACTCCAGATTCACTCCACGAGAAGTACTACAAATGCAAAACATCCATTTCTCACATTTTTCAAGGCGTTGAACAGTAAACAAAACAAGTAGGAATAATCTTAAATCGTGCAGTTGTGATGTGACCAGTGACTTTATTAAATGCACATCAAAACCAAGGGTGCACAGGATGTTACTTGCTCTCACTGGTTTTGATGCACTTGGAAAATACATGTACTCCATCGGTACTCCATTGGAGTAGCCTATCTTGGCTGTTTAAAGTACTCAGTGGTAAAATTTTGTACCACCTGCACGCATTTAGGTCACTGAGTATGTTTTTGGGGTTGTTTTTCATAAGCAGCATTAAGCATAGTGTTTTCTTTGAGGTAGGAATTAAATTGTTAAATATTACTTACATGGACTTAAACTATTGACTGCCACTCATATAAGCTGTTACGTGTTCCCAAAATGTTGTAACGTGTTAATTATGTATAAACTATAACATATAAAATTTACCATGGAATTGTGTGTAAAATGTATATAAAAGAAAATCATAACTGAGCATGAAGAAAAATACGAACACAATCGGAATCGCTAAACTCTTGGACTGTGTCCATCGCCTGTGTTTCTAAAAAGAACACCGCGTTTGGGAAGCTGGATGGGCTTCCGTCTTCAGGTTAAAAAGGGGTGAGGGGCACCTACTCAGTTGGGTCTGACAGAAAGACACATTTGTTGCATGCACGCATAATTTAACATTAATGCATGATTTTATGCGCCGTTGAATGTTAAATTATGTTTTTGGATGCACCACACGGAAGATGTTGAGAAAAACTGCTTTACCTGTTGATAGTGATATATAAGTGGCCAGTTTGATTTGTTTGGAACAGAAGCTGTGCTATCGCCCTGTGTCAACAGCATGGGCTAAGTCATTATCTCTCAACAGCCAGCCACTTCGGTCGGTTATTGGAATGATTGACTCTGGCACTGCATATCAGGGGGACAGGAGCGGAAGTGGAAGTAACCAGGTCTACTCGATCGAGTTGACAGAATGGGGAAAAGCCACATAAGCTTCAAGATGGCTGTCATCTGGGTTGTTGCACCGCGTAGTCTGGTAGAACTTTACAGACCTTTCAAAGGTCCTTACTGCAGTAAAGGCTTCTAACATCTTCAGACTCACCGCCATGAAAACCACAAATCCTCCACATGAGCTTGATTAGTTGAATCTTAAGATGCTGTGAACGTGCTAAGGAACATTCAAGGTACTGAAGGACGGAATTTTTTGGCAAGCTGAGACACAATCAGCTTTTGAATAAATTTCCAGCACTAGAGGTCAATTTTGACTGCCGCTGAAATGAAGTAGGAATATGATTATGCATGGCAAGTAAGGATTTGGAAGGAGGTGGTTGTGACCCTCTTTTAATGATTGTAGTATTAATAAGAATCGGATCATTGGAAGTAGTTTTTATCTGTTTTGAAGTATTTTCCGCCATCCGTTTTGGGAATGTAGGAAAGCAACGAAGAGGATTCGAATGAGATACTCTGCAAAGGAGTCAAACGGGTTATCAGGGTGCCAGCCCATTCGGTATGACGGCCTGTAATCCCTTCGGGACCAGGATGTAGTTTCCTGGTGGACTGCACACGTATTTCTAGCTTTTCGCCCATTTAGAAATGTCTGTGGATGCAACAACCCACTCTAGCACCACTCATTACATCCCTGTAGGTAGCGCTTAGTGATGTGTTACTGTTTCTCGGACTTGCGCATTTCACCCTAGAATCCGAATCGGGGCGAACTTGGTCGTCGTACCAACAGTAGTGGCACGAAGGTTTTCCCGCCAACTCATCCGAGACTTCTTTTATCTCCTCTACCGGGTGTCTTAGTATTGCTCCTGCGTAGTTCGGGGTAACATTTAGCGGTCGCTTCGCGTCATTAGAATTTACCGACAGTGCGGTGCATACTCGAGTGAAACGTTCGCATGCCTCAGTCAAACTTGCGAAGATGTTAATTGGATTCAACTGGCTGAAGAGCGGAGCCATTGCAAAGTCTTTGTCGAAGTGTTGAAATACTATGATCGTATATTTATTTAGTGCACTAAAGAGGACAAGTACTTAAGTGTATGGGAATTTTGATTTGTGATGTGAACATACACGTTACATGAAGAAATAGTTTTAGTTTGAAACACAATTTTAAACTTCTTGTCTAACGAAGTTGATTCATATTTACAGGAATGTTTTTGAAACAATATCTCACGACTGTAATAAAAATGTTTTTAAAATAAGAAGAAATTATAAATGTCAACGTTTCGTAGTTGACCTACAGGCCATGATACGTAAAATAATGGCAACAAGTGCTGACTATATGGAACTCCAACACGAAAAGCGAAATGTCTTTACCTTTGCTTTGATGAAACATCTATTAATGTGCATGTTAGTTAAAGTAAGTTTATTAACCATGTTTTATTAATGTTGGTGTCAGTCGTACTGAGTGGAACTCAAGTTGTTGATGTTATAATCCACGACCTATAAAAGTGCACGAATTTACTTAACTTCTCCCCCCCCCCTCTTTTTGGGTTGGAACAGTTGCCTGCGGACCTCTACGATGACGTCATGGTGTAATATAGAGTGAGAGTCTCAACCAGGTTCTTCAGAGATGATGACCTTTTTGTCGGTGAGTACAAACAAGCCTGCTTTAAGGATCTTGAGTGTTCATCACCGTGTTTACAAAATACTACTCTTTGACACTATTCTGAGTAGTCTGAATAGGCCTGGAGTTGACACCTACGTTTCCTGTTTCTCAGAAATCCACATGGACATTATCTCCCTTATGACGTTTGGTGCTGTTCCCAAAATATTTCCGGATCACAGTTTTCTCTCCATATCCACTTATTCTCTTCGTGCTATATACCCTTTCCATCTCAGATTACTTTATTTATCACGTTATACATTATGTATACATATAGATAGGTCTGTATTTAACCACCACCAACCACGATAGAGCAGTAGGATTGGACCTCTGGGTTTGGATTCCCGGCAGTGGCAAAATTTTGTCCTTTACCACGACGTCCGGACCGACTGTGGGGCCAACTCAGTACCCAGTGGGCACTAGAGTTCTGTTCTCGAGGGTGAAGTGGCTGGGGCATGCAACTGACTCCTTACTTCCGTCTAGTACTGAGGTTAAGAACGTGTGGAGCTATACCTCCGTTCACCCATACGTCTGCACGGCGTAGTGCTTAGTTAAACACGAGGAAGGACATTTGGAGTAATCGGGAAAAATCTGTGCGTTCCCGTCCGTTAGAATAAAAATCCGCGACCTCAAAGGGACATCTATTTCCAGCTACAGACTTTGTAGCCCGCTGTCTCAAATCCTATGTTGACAATGTATTTGATTTACGTAGTATAGGATGTGTGTTTGTTTTCCTTCACCCACAAGCTATTTCACGGCTGTGCTGTATGCCCGCGCGCGCACACACTCACCGCAGACTCAGCGGCACAGTCGTCAAATATCCGCTCTGTATATAAAATAATTTCGCTCAGTGGTCTTCCCTGTGTTTCCATCCGTTTTCTAGGCGACCGTGATGGGTCTTAATCGTAAAAGAACCTGTTTGGGCCCATCTCTGTTTTGTTTTGTGGTACCAGTGCGTTTTCTTTGTGAAGCAATCATTATGTTAGCTTCATAAGACTGTCAGAAGAAAGTAACAACTTTACTATTTCGGAACAGTCAGTTTTAAGAACAAAATACGAATAGCTTTTACTTCGACGGCAGGGATTTACTTGTACACCTAAAAGATGTAACTCTTTTGTCAATGAAAAATGTTTACTTTGAAGAATATACTGAAGACGATATTATCTACAGACAAACAAAAATGGAGTAATAATCTTATTTGAAAAATGAAATTTTCAAATTATTTTCTTACAGTTGTATCGAGAGGATTACACACAATTGAAATATTTTTTGATACTGCCCATTACTTTTTATGTATAGTTCTGAGTCTTCATCAGCGTCGATGAACAGCCACCTCATTGTACTATCGGAGATGATTAATATTCTCAGGCTTATAGTCCTTATTCTTAATTGTACCTCACAGGAAGAAACCAATATTAGTTTCGGAGATCGCGGTGGCCACTCAATGGAATCCCTTGTTATTGTCGGGCTACCTGGAAAAATCTCGTTCAATGAGAAAGATTCTTTTTATGTGTGTAATAGGACCATGCATTTGCCGTATATTCCGCGAAGCACAGACCTTTGATGTTTTGTGCACGTAACTGTAGGCTAGGCATCAGATCCTGTTGGAGCATTTTCAGGGCTGATCAAGGCTTAGTTTCGTGAAAGGAGGGCTCTTATGTTGTCCTAATATTTCAGTTGGTAGCGTGTTTGCCTGTAATGAGCCGGATGAATCCAATCTACTTCCCTACATACTACATATTTAAGATCAATTTGTATATTATCCTCCTATGTGCTCCTAGATCAAACGTGAAACCTCAGAGACTTAAATATTGTACAAAATATCTCTGTGACATTGGTTGAACTCCATTACTTCTACAGTCTTTACTTATTGCCCTCTTGGTTGCTATATCTCATCACCATTCGTGCATTTGTTACGGGGTACGACGATAATTTCTCTTCTCTGAGTGTTCCCAGAGATTGCCTGCTCTTCCTTCTGGTAAAGTTAGGTTGTAGAGAAGTGAAAACGTTGAGAAATCCATTTTGTGGCTGTGTAGTAGTAATGCAGCCGTTTTAATATATTACACAGTATTCCTTTCCACAAGGCCATTTTGTATACGATGATACAGAGTAATGCGGTCGGCGTGTTTTCAAATGTTTAAACACTGAAGCGGACTGTTTATACACTTTAATGTGACGAAACCACTTTTATTTGCTTAAAATTGACGTCTTGTGTGAGGTAAACGGCACCAAGTCCACAAACTAACAAATAACAGCGATTTCACTGCAACAAGGTGGATCTGCTTTATTTCACTTTCTATGAAGAAAATAATTTAGATTATTGGTCTAACAATAATACAGCATAAATTAATTTTAATTTTATTTTCTGTTCGAGAGGAAAAGTGCATTAAAAAGCCCGTTGTATGAGATTCCGTGTATGAAACCGAAGACGTATTTAGGAAAGATTCGTATAACTAAAAGAGAGAAACGTGTTTTATCATCCCCACTTAGACAATAATTGGACACATGACACAAGGCACTGTTTACCTACCAAATCAGAGTGAAATTTACCTTTTGAACAGCGCGAAACTTGAGAGATTCCATATGGTTGCCCATGAGTCTTGACATATGAATACTACCAAAGATGAGGTTGTTCACGTATTTATTTATAAGCTATTATGTCTGTCCTGAAATTAATGTCGGAACTACATGAAACTCTAAAACCAGTAACATTTGTAAAAAAAACAAAAGCAGATGTTCTGAGAGGAACTAATGATTCATTCTTCTCTTTAAATTTCCTGTTGCTACACTAAGCCTCGCTTTTCTAAGAAAGAAGATGTTTTATTGGCGTCTTATTGAAACGAGTAAAAGTTTAATGGCTATATTTGTAAGGCACTAATACACTTTATATTTTTATGTGGGTGCAGGTTAAGAACCGGGGACAATACTTTCTTACCTTACAAGTCGCTCTCTTTTAATTGGTTTTAGTATTGGGAGAGTGTTTGGTAGCACTGGAAGAACGATTCACATCTCTGCAGCAATCAAGTTGACCACAATCACATTTCAGGAATGTGATTTCGAGTGGAACTCTGTCCAGAACTACATATTGTAAAAAAAAAGGTACGACCGAACTTCTGTTTTGTATGCAGAGGGTCTTGAACTCGGTTCTTGGTTACGAGAGGGTTTTCTTTGTTGTTGCTTGCCTCCCCCTTCCCCAGGAAATAATATTAGGTTGTAGTAACATGCAATAGGCTACTATAGCGTTTCACGTCATTTGAAAACCATCATTCACAGTCATGTCTTAGCCAACGTTATATAACCTGTGCAGTTAAGGAGTTGTGACATCAAGAATCATTTATTCTAGAAAGGGTCTTCTGTGGTCACATTATTCTCCACGGCCAAAGTTGACTAATTTAATTAAAGATTAAACATTCAAGGTTTGCGTCTCATATTTGAAACAGCGTTTATCTATGACACTCTAAATTATACAGATAAATACAGCGTGTGCAACGTAAAACGCAACCCAAAAACAATCACGTACTGTGGCACGAGAATGAAATCAGAAGCAGGTCCACCTCCGAAAGACTCTCTACCAACCTCCTCGTTACTAGGCGGCTGCTCACGCCAGGTACGCGGTAACAACGCGAACGTCTTGTATTGACGAGCAGAACGTGTGTTCATTGCCTAACATCAATTCGCATCGACATCGTTTGCCGCTGTCTGTGAAGATTTACAGTGTGCGTCTAGACAAGGAAGTGCCGAATGAGACAACACGTACACCGACTGCGTGTCTTCGGCTTTCGAGTGAGAGCCGCGTCGAATGTTTGGTACCAACTAAAGTTTCGGCAGACATTGCAGTTGCCGTTTTCAAGGCTGGCACCTGCAGTGTTTCCCCAAACATTGGTTAAAACCAAACATTTGACAAGGCTGTCACTCGAAAGCTGAAGTTAGACATCGAACTCCAGACTCGAAAACATACGGAAAGCATACATGGACTGATTACCAAATTTTGGGATACAAAATGTGTTTGTCTGTGACAAATTCTCATTGAGACACAAAAAATCTGAAATCGGCTAATTTGTGTGTGTGTATATGTATAATATTCCAGATCCCCCCCCCCCCCCATATAAATGTTTTATAACAGGAAACTATTTTGACAGGTGTATGTTTTAATTTGTAATTTATTAAATTTTCGATGTCCAAATTCTCACGATGTAATTTTTGCAACTGTAATATTATGCACCTACGGTGGGGAGATGTGTGTTATATGACAATTGGTTTCGTTGATATAGTGATTTTGATTCTTCAACCCATTTAGATGCTCTCGTCCGTGTATCTTGTAATCTCGTTCACGGAAGGACTAGGTCCGTAGGCACCTGAGGATGGGTTAGAATGTCAACCAGTTTTCCCAGATTTAACCTTCTCTGAATGCACTTTTTAGCCTTTTGTGATACTGAAAATAGATATGCTCTTTCAGTGAACTTCCAGCAGCTGCCTTTTGTGGTCGTATGAGGTTTCTGACTTATTCGATTAGGTACAAAATGACGTGATCTTACCTTTTGCTGATAAGCAAAGATGAATTTTTATTTTTGTCACATATGCGGAATTAGGATTGTAAGATGAGTATCGAGTAGCTTCTTGGTTTATACAGGCCTGTTATTTTTATACAATACTATGGGCCTGCTCATAGGATGCAGATTTTGTTTATTATGCCAAATTTTAAGTGTGTACGCCCGTTGATCACTTTTCAATTGTTTACGACCATGATGCCACATAATGAGCGCTTTATGAATTACACGGATACCAAGAAACGAAATTTCTCTACACTTAGATCCGTTATGAACTATACAAAATCGGTTATAATAGCCTAACAACTAGACCAATAGGAAACGATAATATTGTTGGAAAGGGTTTTATAAGATGGGTCATCAAGTATTGTTACGGATGACAGTGAAGTTAAGTTTATGACTGACTGGACGTGTACTTGCATGGTGAGATAATTTCAC